ATATATATATATATATATATATATATATATATATATATATATATATATATATATATATATATAAAATAAGAGGAGATTTTCCCTAAGGTACAATTCTATGATTGAAGTCCCAGAGCATTTGCTATAGAATCTGGAAAGGGCAAAATCACCTTGAGCTCTGCTGGTTGCGGGAAGGCTTCCCAGGAGAGGAAGGACAAGAAGACGTGGGGCAGGATTCACAGAGGTTAAAAGGACAGTGGGTACCTTATTCTTTATGTGCCAGACACAGTGCTAAAATACTTTGCAAGCATCAATTCATTTAAGCCTTACAATAACTCCATGGGGTAGGTATTGTTTTTATCCCCATTTTACAGATGTGGAAGCTGAGGCACCAAAAGGTTAAGTTACCTGCCTAGAGCCACACAGCTAATAAGTGGCAGGATTTGAACCCCAAAATCTACCTCTAGGGGCTACGATGTTCTTAAGTACTATACCCGGGAAGGGCTGCATTAGCTAGGGAACTAGGGAAGGCTTACACAGGAAGGGAAACACCGCTAGGCCAGTGCACTTTGAGGGAAACCACAATATGTCAACCCCAAAATACGCCTCTTTGACATAAAAATTGTCTTGAGCTGAAGGCAATTAAGTGGCAGCAAAAGGCAGAAAAGGCTCCCCCTTTTCTGCCTCAAGAGGGGAAATTAATGCTCCTTTTACTGGAGACAGACTTTAAGAAGTCACAGAGGAATCTGCAAACAAACCTTGTTAAGCTAACCCTTATCTTCCTAGTTATTTCCTCACCATTCACTACCCATAGCCCAAACCCCTTTGTCTGGTCAGTTCTTCACAAATGTATTGTTTCTTTGTCTAAAAGGTATAAAATCTTCCTGCTCTGGTTACTTCTTTGGGTCTTCATTCTCTTGTGAAGGCTCCCAGGCACATGTAAAAATTCAATCAAATCTATATGCTTTTCTCCTGTTAACCTGTCTTTGTCAGTTTAATTTTCAGACCCAGCCAGGGACCCTCAGAGGGTCAAAGAAAACTTTTTCCTCCTCTGTAATTTCAGACTGTAAAGTGCACACTCATCATTTGGGGATCTTATTAAAATGCAGATTCTGCTTCAGCAGAGTAGGGGTGGGGCCTGAGACTCTGCATTCCCACCAGACTCCAGGTGATGCTGATGGCCATGGCCCAGGGACCACACTTTGAGTCTGCAAGCCACCAGAGCACAGCGGCTAAGAATTTGGGCTCTGGAGCCACAGACAGGCTTAGGCTGACATCCCAGGTCTCCCAATTTCTTATTGTTTGATCTTGAATAAGTTACTTAACCTAAACCCAAGTTTCCTCCTATGCAAAATGAAGATGATAATGGTTCCTTCTCAGAGGGCTGTGGTGAGGATTAAATGATAACATCTCCCCGGCTCCTTTTTCCTTTCTAACTCCCTTGAAGGAAAGATACAGAGGACCAGGCGGGGGCCAGACTGACTACAGCCTTAAGCAACAGGCTGAAGAGTTTAGGCTTTGCCTACATTAACCGAGAGCCCTGGGAGCCTCGTGAGCAGTGGGTGACATCAAAGATCAGTCCAGAGGTGGCATATGCAAGATGGGATTGGACAGAGAGATTTAAGGCAGAGATGTGTGAGCGAATCGCCCCAGGTCAGGGGCAAATACCTGAACTG